CAGTGGCACCATATAGCATTTGTCCCTTTGTGACTGAGATACCTCAGTCAGCATAATGTCCTCCAGGGTCATCCATTTTGAATAATATTGCATGAGTTCCTTGTTTTTCAATGCAGCATAGTATTCCATTCTTAAAAATTCTTTACTTCAGTAGATCTTCAGAATGCAGTAAAATTTCTCAGCATTGTTCCTGAATCTCTTTTTTTATCTGGACCTTGCTTTTGTCTCTTAACACTTTGTGCTTCAGTCAGATGCAATACACCATGTTCTCTTTAAATCTCTTTACCTTATAGCAGATTTCTGCTTGAAATTAGTTGATTTTCAGGACTTAGTCTTCCCTTTAGTTCTTCTGTGCTTGAAGTCTTTGATCTGACAGCTGCTCACTCTTTTGGAAACCTATAATATCATGTCCGTATCTCTCTCTGCCATTTTCATGATGTTTTGCAATCATTTCTTCATAGATTTTCTTCTTGGAAGCTATGACTTGGTGTGGGCCTGTCTGGATCTCAACTTTAATTAACTGAAATACATTGTAAAAGTTAAATTCACAGTTAAAATCTTTGTACATGGATTCTTGGAATAGTATTTTGAACAAGACTCTGATATTATGTACTTCATTTCTGGGATGTCACATTTGAATCTTAATAAACTGAAAAGAGAACCATGTTTTCAGGTGTTCATTATGTTCATCTGTGAACAAAATTATCTGAGAAAAGAAACAGTTGTCAGTTTTAAGATATGAATGATAACTTAAGTTCATACCTCTCTATATTTTAGGTTATGGAACTGTTGGTCCATCTAAATAAGCGTATAAAAAGTCGCCCCAAAATCCAACTCCCGGTTGAGACACTATTGGTTCAGTACCAAGACCCTGCTGCAGTTTCCTTTGTCACTGTGAGTGTTACCTTGAAATATTTTCTGACTTAAAGTACATTTTCTTTCACTTTATTTATAAGTTTAGAATTTGACTGTAGAATACTTAGAAATGAAATATTTTTTTTTTCTTTAAACAGTACATTTTTTCTACTGAGCAACAAAAAAAGGGAAATGATAGTAACAGTAACAAATGGCTTTTTATTGGGAAAAGAAATGTTGTGAAATTACTTGTCCAGGAATGTTGACGTATAAAAGGAAGATTTGCTCATTAGTAAAATATTATATAAAAACTTAATAGAGATAGTCATGTATTAATTATGAGGATGAATGAAAGGTAAAGTAGTAAAAAGATAAACTGGCAAGATAGAAAAGTTTGTTTTTAGGAAATCAAGATTGCCATTTTCTGATATGTGTATTCAAAATTTATCCTTTTTTAAAAAGTAGAGTATATTAAATAGTGGCTGGTAAGAAGCATTTCTGCTAAGGATTTTGGATCAAGTTATTTGATGCAAATGAAAAAGTAAAAACTTGCTGTTGTGTGATATCAAATGATGCTGTTTTTCTCACCCTTCTGGTTTCTAGCACCGAGATAGACTCTTTTGGTCTTATAACATCTGGGACCACTGACCCTTGGAACCACTTGCTGGCCCAAATGAATTCTCTTTCTTTTTGGGGGGTGGACATGAAGTTCTATTACAAATGTTCCATACTTTAAGTAAAATGGAAAATACTGGGCCACTGAAATATATTTATAGGAATAATGTTATAAAGCTATTGTAAAGTGAAGAGTCCTTTAGGAAAGCAAATTATGTCTTTATTGTATGTGCAGTTCTGTATAAGTGTTTATTAAATTTGCTTTAAATAGGATTTTTTTTCATGGATTATAGTGGCATAAACACTTCCTTAGCATTTAAGTTTCTTTGGTTTATCAGACATTAATGTATTCTTGGAGTAAAAAATTAATAATGTTGCAGTCTGCTAATGTAGTTTTTATGATTGATCAGTTGGGAAATAGTCTAGGATTTAACAGGCTAGTCTTCTAGTTTTCAAGTATTAAGGTAACTTTGGAAGATTGATCCTAATGCAGGCTATATAGAATGTCAGATGATTAGATTACTGTGTATTCAAGTACTTTGGAGGAGATCCTGCTCCCTCACACGACTCACTCTCATTGCCAGAAAGTTGGCTGATCTTCCAGGCTGTATCTCCGCAGGAGATTGCCCATTTTTTCCTTTGGAGTATCTAATGAATTCAAACAGCCAGAAAGATGCCACATTTGAGTTAGCAGTGCAACTCCCTGATGACTATGCTACCAGAGTTCTCTTCCTCATATAATGTCCATCTTAGAGGAAAGATTTTGAGAAAATAGGATTGGAATTCTTTTCTCTAATACAGTCGTAGCTTAAAAAAATAAACAAGTAGAGGATGATTCATGTATATTGAATTCTTATAGTTCTAACTCCTTAAGTTATATATCAGGTTTTCATATTTATTGTATTCTTTTTTCACACTCACTTTTTTTATTGTATTAGAATTTTACTATAATTTATGTTAAGATGGGTTATCCTCGCCTGCCAGTAGAAAAACAATGTGAACTTGCTCCGACACTTCTTACTGCCATGGAAGGGAAGCCTCAGCCACAGCAGGATAGGTATGGTTTTCTCAGTTATCTTCTGTTTATACTGCAGGAGTCAGCAGCTACCTTTCAAGTGTAGTGCCATATATTTGGTTTCACTTGGTCAGATCTGAAGGTCTGAGCTATTTCAATTTACAGATAATTGTATGTTCTGTGGTACCTCACAGTTACTGTTTTGTGGTTGTGATAAAATAATTGATTTGTTTTGATAGATCTATTTATATATATTATATATATATTATTTATATATTATATAATTATTATATATGTTATATATATAAAATACAATATAAAATTTCTTGAAGTAAACACAATTGGAGAGATGTAAAAAAATTAACTTAAGGTAGTATATTTTTGGCATTTATTTTGAAAAGCTAATTTTATATGATTGCAAAATGAAACTTATTAAAAAAAAGCTTGCTTATAGGTGGCTGGAGGGGTGAACAGATTTAGATGATGATACTTCCTTTCTTTATAGGTTTAGCCAGAAGTTCTCATTTCATCACTTTATTGATGAGAATCATTATAATCCATATAAAAATTATGGGGAAAGATAGAGATAAATAATATTTCTAGGTGAGCTCTGGTGGCCTAGTGGCAGGAAACTGCACTGCAATCCCAGAGGTGCACGGTTCAAATCCACCAGATGCTCTGCTGAAGAAGGAGGAACTATCGCCTCCTGTACCAGTCAGATCCAATTTGACGGTACACACATAAAAAGAATAAATAAATAAATAAAAATTAAAAAAAAATATTTCTAGTTCTGTTTTTAGGATTATATTTTTAAAGAAAGAGAATACACATACAAAAGTAATAAGCATTACTAGCACTATTTAAAATTGTTTTCATGTATTTTAAACATAAAAAGGAATAATGAAAAAGAATATTGAAACTTACTTCAATTTAGACAACTTTTAATATTATGTTTGAAATATTAGAATTTTTATTTCTTTAGATTTAGAATAACTTCATTTTAATTAACTGTATAAGGGAAAAGTTTGACAGAAAGGACACATTAGGAAATGAACTTCACCTTGGACTTAATATATAGAACTTTTATGGGAACTCTGCATATTGAGACCATATTACGGACATTTCTTCCCAGATGGTTTTGTAAGTCAGTCAGATTGGCTAAGGGCCAGTTATCAATCAATATAGTGTACTTGGAATAAGAAAGAAATTTAGCTAGTCTCTAGTTAGGACTTTGTAAGTGAAAAGTATTAAAAATGGATGGATCTTACTGAACTACCAGTTTTAGTTTTGTGATTTTTTTGCTTTGCTTTTTTCTTACCTTTTAAAGTAGCTGCAATAAATGTAATTGTTTTTTCAGCTTAATGCATCTTTTAATACCAACCCTTTTTCACATGAAATACCCTGTTGAATCATCAAAATCAGCTTCTCCGTTTAATCTTGCTGAGAAACCAAAGACTGTGCAGCTGCTTTTGGACTTCATGCTAGATGTCCTTCTGATGCCTTATGGGTAAGTTAAACAGTTAAACAATTAAAACTAGCCAAACTTGTTCTGGATTTGTTTTGCCATTTGGTAGTAATATTCTGCATTATTCAGCTTTCTCTTAGAAGTGGATGGATGAGCCTTCACTCTTCAGCTGCCGCTCTGATCTCTTTTGAACTCTGACAATAGTGCTTACTGGCCAGAGTGACTGTTGTGATTTCAGAGTCAGGCTGTCTGAGTTGAAATCTCTCCTTTTCTTTGATTATGATCATTATGATTCTTCTCCCTAACTAGGTGTACATGTAAATTTTCTCTACCTTTTCCTTGTTACCACGATATAAGATTAATTAATTAATTAATTATTTAAGTCTCTAGTGACTTTTTTTAAAAAAAAATTTATTTTTGGTATGTGTGTATTGTCGAATTGGATCCGACTGGTTACAGGAGGAGATTGCCCCTCCATCTCCAGTGAGACATCTGGTGGATTCGAACCCTGCACCTTCAGGATTTCAGTACAGCATCTTGCCACTAGGCCTCCAGAGCTCCTCTAGTGACTAATTTTTAAAAATTATTTTTAATTGCTTTTCATATAATTTACATTGTTTCATTCATCCACATTGTGTTCTATACAGTCTTTAATTTACACTGTTTCATAAACTCATTTATATACAATGTATTTTATATACTTAATTACCATTGATCTATGCCTATTATTACAGTCTTTTCAAGTCCTCATTGACTCTTTCCTATTCCTTCACCCCCTCCACAGTCTGCTCACTAATTTCTGCTATCCTAGTGGTTTCCACCCTTTCCCTTTTCTCACCCCTTTTCACTTCCCCTTTTAGACATATATACACCTCTTATTAGTGTTTCTCTATGGCCATACCACCCTGAACATGTCCAATCTGATCTGATCTAGTTTCTCTTTTGTTTGCTGGATCCTGGATCCATTCCTACTGCCTTTGTAGTTTATTACCATTTTTTATTTTTCCTCATTGGCATTGAAAACTCTTACTATAGAATTTTATTTTTAAAAAATTATGGTGATCAAAATATATGTAAATAGCACAGGATTAAACATTTGTGTGCTAGTGGAGTGGTTTGAATCTATCTGCAGCTCTGTGGGGAACACACCTGTTGTATACTCCCATCTCAGTTATAGCATAGGCTACTTTATGGGACAGTGCTACCCTCTCATAGTGTCACTGTGTATAACAGTAAAACAGATTTAACAAAATTTTGCCATTTTAAAGTTTATAATTCAGTGACTGATTACATATGCAACCATGACTGCTATTTCCAAAAGTTTTTAGTCACCCCAAATGGAAATGTAGACCATTAACTTTTCATTCCTACTCCTTTCAGCTCCGGTGTCTGATAATACAGTTTTGTCTCTGTGCCTTGGCTGTTTTTAAATATTTGGTTTTTTGTTTTTGCTTATTTCACTTGTATTTTCAAGGATTGTTCATGTCATAGATGTGTCAGCATCCCATTTCTCTTTATGGCTGATTAATAGTTCATTGAATGTATATATTGCATTTTGTTGATCTAGTCATCTGTTAATGGGTTATTCCCATCCTTGCCTTTTTGTGAATATTTCAGTGAACACTGATGTATTAAAGTTCCTTTTTAAAAAACACCAGCTCATGCACTAAAATTTGTAGACTATAATTTTCAGCAGTACCTTAATGTATATTATATATACATGCTTTTTTGGTACTCTTAATGTTTTTTTCCTTTTCAATTTTAAGAGAATGCAGTACTTTTTGCTTAGAATATCTTCTCATTTTAAAAAAAGGAAACAAAAAACATCAGACTCTCAAACTATCTAACACTTACTTGTGTGTCTAACAAATTTCCTGGCCTATTATGATTTGGTTGCACTATTTTCTGAATCTTCTGACACTAAACACACAGAGATGCCTATGTTACTACTTTTGTTTTTTTATTAGTTACTACTTTTTTATTGTATCATTGACTTCTGTTTTCAATAGATTGTGAGCGCCTCATAATTAAGGGCAGTCTTACTTATCTTTGGTTCTTGGTGTCATGGCTAGGCTGCCATTAGCCCATTTATTTTCCAGCTTGTCTTGCAGTCAGATAGATTTTCTTAAACTGCTGTGTTCATCTTATTTCTTCCCTGATCAAGAATAGGATCTATGTTGTAAGGTTGACATAAGGGTTTCTAATCACCACACATCGGTACAGACACTGGACAGTGCATGATATATAACTTTCTTATGCTCTCCATTTTGTTTCCCTTTTCCTCCTTTAGTTAGTTTGATTAATTTCATATCTTATTTCTCTGCAGTTTCCTTGCCATCTGATAAATGTTGTCAAGTATCCATATATGGTTGTTATTGTCTCATCTTACTCCTGATTACAAGGACTCAGTCTTATATTTCTTAAATTCCTTTGTCTTGTACTGAGCATGATATTTGCACAATATTAGATGCTCAGTTGATTGATTGACTTGTCACCAGTCTTGCTATAACTTAGAAATAAGTTAAACTCTTCTTGTGTTTTTAAATTAGGTGTGAGCCACATTTGACAATGATGGTTGCTTTGATAAGTAAATCTTGAAATTCATATTTAATTAAGGAACATAATGTATTAAAACAAATGATTCCTCACATTTTTCTTACTAGTAAGAATTTTCTTTGTTGATGTAAAAAATTAAATTAATTCTTTATTTTAAACAGGTGAGTTTAAGAATTGAATCAATAAGGCATATAAATAATATCTAACTATGTTCCAGAAGTGCTTTTTAAAAATTTTATAACAAAATTTTTATTATATAAGTTATTTTAATATACAGTATGATGAGACTCACCAATATAAAATTTAGTTTGAAAGACCTAAATAAAAGTTTGTTTCAAAGTTTTTATCTTATTCATAAGTAATATGTGTTTAATTGGATCAAAATAAATTTATCAGAAATTTTATTTCAATTCTTTAAGAGCTAAAATGAAAAGATATAAACATAAAATGGAAAGGGCTCATGCTCATCTTGTTTGACATTCTCACTTTATGATTTTTTCCTTTTTATTTTTAGGGCTCTTTGTAATAGAAATTCCTCAATATTTCCTAGTTAAAAACTCAACATGCAATGAATCCATGGTAGTTTGTAGAAATACAGTTTATAAATAGGGAATGAACAGTATATATTCATTATTAGTATTGCTGAAGAGAGGTCATTTTAAAGTATATTTAATGTTTTTCTTCATGATAAAAGTTTATTTTATTTCGGGTATTTACTCTTTATTAGAGTAGTATTCTGAAGGAAGTATCGTATAATTGAGTCTTCTGCATACTCATTTAGGGATCTTAGGCCACCAAGTGTTTAAAGAGTTGTGCTTCCAACCCCAAAGCAGGTGGTTTCAATCCATCAGCTGCTTCATGGGAGAAAGATGAAAAGTCTGTTCCTGTTCAAAACCTCTGTTCAAAATCCTCTAAAATCCCACTGGAAAGTCAGCTATGATTTGGTCCCAACTCGATGACAGTGAGAGAGAAAGATATATACTCATTTTGTATTCATGTGTTTTAATAGACGGTTAATACTTTATTTCTTTTTCAGATATGTGTTAAATGAATCCCAGAGTCGCCAGAACTCATCTTCAGCACAGGGTTCATCCTCAAGTAGTGGAGGAAGTTCTGGAATCCCACAGCCTCCTCCAGGAATGAGCTTTTATGCAGCAAAACGAGTTATTGGTGATAATCCATGGACACCTGAACAGTTGGAACAGGTATCACACTCATGACTTGCTCATAGTTGAACTTAACACAGTGCTCTTCCCCTTGTGACGTTCATGAAAGCATATATAATTTAACGCTAGTACATTTAGACTAGTCACTTGTTTGAAAGCAGCAGTTGATGCAATGCATACTTGTCATGATGTCAGGTATTTGTTAAAGCACAATAGAGGGTGGAAATAAGCTTAAGTTTGTCTCAGCCTGCTTACATATTTAAAATATAAACATTTAGAATATTAGGGAACTCTGGTGGCCCATTGGATAAAGAACTGTGCATGTGGTTTGTAGTTTGAATCCTCTACCTGCACTGTTAGAGAAAGGTGGGCATTCTTCTCCCATGTGCTTTACTGTCTCTGAAAACCTGTGGGAGGGTCAGCCATGAGTCAGTTTCCACTCAGTGTAGCACATAATAACAACAGTGTTTCAAAACTGTGAGTATATTTAACTTCTTTCATTTTAAATAAATAGATTTAATAATCATTTAGCTCCTTTGATGCAGTTAAAATATAATTTGTCTGATATTACCCAACTTTTTAGGTTGTACATTTATTGCAACATGAAGCTCTGTATTTCACAAGTGACACTGTGGGGGAAAAGCATGACTCCCTTTTATATATTTTCTTGAAAATTTAAACGTGGGCATTAAGAATGTTATTCTGGATTTAAACAGGACACAGATGTTCTCTGAGCAGCTTTTAAAAATGACTGGTGCTCTGCAGAGAAGGTGTCTCAATGTGTTGGTGTCATCAGGCACCTCAGGGAAGAACAGATGAGATCAGTATGTAATTATATGGAATTCAAGCAAAATGGGTTAGTCACCAATCCTTCCTTTATCTCTCCATGGCAATCTAAATGATTTTGATCCTTTTCTTTTTGGAATATAAGTGCCATTGATAAAAAATGTGTTCCCAGGAGAGGGAAAAGAGGCAGAGGAGGCATTCTTGCCCTTATAAGTTTATAGAATGACTTCTTCAGTAATTTCTTCATATTTTAGGGATAAGTTCCTCCTTGAACAGTTACGTAAGAAAGATAAACAGTAACAGAAACCACTTTTATTGAGTGTATATGATCTTTGTGACGGGCACTCTACTGAGTACTTTAAATACATTGTTTAGTCCTCATAGTAACTCCATAAAGTATAAACATTGCTGGTAAATGGAGCAGAAGGCTTAGACAGGTTAACTAAATTCACCAAGTTCTACACTCTAATAGGCTTTGAACCTTGGTCTGCCCAAAAGCTGAGGACAAAAACTCTAGAGAAATGTTTACAGTTTTGCACTATAATACTTTTTGCTCATAATTTATTAATTTCAAAGGACTCCTTTGTACTTTTTGTCAGTCTCATAATCTCATATTGGAATGAACAGTTGAATACCATGGATGAAAACTGTTTTCTTAAATCTTCCTCAGTAACTGCATAAAATTGAAATTGTATATAAACTAGCTACTATTTTTTTAAACCAGTCTTTTGAGAGATTTCTGTGTTTTTAGTTATCATTGTCTATTTGATAGGTGTTTTTGGGTTCTTGACATCTGTGATTACCCTTTTTTATGACTTAACAGGTTACACATTATAATTGATTTTCTTAAAGATAAAATTTCAGCATTCAGGGTGTTTATTTTATATATCTAGCTGTAGTGAAATTCATCATTATTACACATTATGATAGTCTAAGCAGATTGTCTCTTCCTGCAACAAAATTTCAGTCTGTCAATTAGATTTAATGCTTGTTGAGAATTTCAGTTGCTTTTAAATAGCATGTATTTTAAAATGCATTTTTTGTTTCTCTTATGTGAGAATATAGAGGCTAAGAATGAATATGTTAATAGAAGGGTAAAACTCTATGGAATGTGAGTTGTTTAGTTCCTGTTGAACTACCAGCTTCATGACTTTTAGAGAGATTCTGTAACCTAAATGGAGAGGCTTTGTTACATTGATCTTGGAGTCAAAACTTGTGTTTGAATTCACAATTTGTGACTTAATAACTATGTGTTTTAATCTCTTAATCCCTTAAACTCTTAAGCTGAGGTTTTTCCATATGGAAAATGGATATAATAATATCTCTTTATTAAATTGTGAGATTTAAATTAAATCATGAATATATTTAGTACAGTAAGTGTACATCATGAACCAGAGTAAGAATTGACACTGTTATTAGTATTAATCCTTGGTTTGTGATTAACTTGATTTGCTTAATAATGATTGTGACTAATGTTTGTTTCTTTGACCACTGTTTCTCCTTCCTTTGATTTATCTACAGTGCAAATTGGGTATAGTGAAATTCATAGAGGCTGAACAGGTCCCGGAACTGGAAGCCGTTCTCCACCTGGTGATTGCTTCTAGTGACACTCGTCATAGTGTAGCAACAGCAGCAGACCTGGAATTGAAGAGCAAGCAAAGGTAACTACTTTCCTTTTAAACTTCCGAATTTGAAAAGAAGCTTCTAAAAGGTCATCCAAAAGAGTGGATAGATGATAAACATTGTATTGGAACAGATGGGAGAAAGAATTGTTTAAAAGGAATATATGATTAGACATTGTATGTATGACAGCAGTCTGCAGTAAGAGGTTCATTGCAAAGTGGACTTGGGGAGCTGAAGGGGGAGGGAGGAAAATGCAACAACAAATGAGTGAAAATCCAGCTTTTCTGTAATCTTTCATTAAAATCACAATAAAATTTATTAAGAAGAAAATTTATATAAATTGTCAAATAGGAAATAAAAAAAAATAAAAGGTCACCAAACATAGTTTTTTCCTTTTAGGACTTTGTGTAAAGAGATATTTAATAAAATAAACTCAGGAAACTCTCTACAAAAAAAACAAAACAAAACAAAACTCATACAGTTTGTTAAGGAACAGAATTATGTATAAGACAAAAAAGAAAAGCCGTTTAGAGATGGAATGTAGGACTGGGATGAATTAGGAATATATTAGTAAGAATGGAGATATTACAATGGTAAAGTCTGTTGTCAGGGACATCTCCAGAGACAGAAGAACAACGATGTCAATCTGGAGACTAAGGTGCGCCTGATCCAGGCCATGGTCTTCACAATTACGTGCTATGCATCAGAAAGTTGGACAGTTACTAGGGATGATAGAAGGACAATTGATGCTTTTGAGCTGCGGTGCTGGAGAAGAGTATTGAATATACCCTGGACTGCTAAGAGAACAAACAGGTTTGTCCAGGACAGGGCGAAACCAGGTTCCTCCTTGGAGGTAAGGATTCTGAAGCTCTGTATGACATACTTTGGGCATGTTTCAAGGAGGGACCAGTCCTTAGAGAGGGATATTATGCTTGGGAATGTGGAGGGACAGGAGGGGAAGACCTTCCATGAGATGGATTGACTCAGTGGCTGGGATAACTGAGTTAAGTGGGTTGGAGACTTAAGGTTGGCTCAGGATAGAGCAGGGTTCAGAGCTGTTGTACATAGGATCACTATGGGTTGCTGGCAACTTGGTGGCACATAACAACAAACACAGCTAAAGAAAGGATTGATGTTAAAATAGCATATCACACCCTAGAAATCATTAAATTTTGATCCTTTGCATAATTGGATATTTCTTTTAATAAAGAATATATATATATA